GTCTCAGTGGCACACCATTATACTTGAAAGGACCTGGAATGAATTACACTATAGACCTAAAAATACTCACCGGTAACCAATAGCATCCCACTGGACAGCATCTTTAAGAATACGACGCGCTTCCCCCTATGTCGCCCCGCAAGAAGAATGAGTATCTTCCCGGGAGTAATAGACTTACGAACCCTGCGACGATGATCCTTAAAGCATTGAACCTTGCGAAGCTGCAACTTCCTTTTCGGATTTTGCACGCTGTACATACGAGGCTTAAAACAAAAAAAGAAGAAGACAAGAACACCATACAAATCTGGGCTTCTTGACAGCCTTGCGTTTGAGATGAGCACGCCTCTTTATGCTTTCCTTCTGCTTCTTCGTTAGCTTGCTCTGGGACAATGCACGCTCAATAATTCTCTTCCCAGACATGGGCCGACGCTTATTAGAAAGCTTTTGCATTGGAACATAAGCAGGAGTCAACGAGCCGATCTTATCATTAGCCATCACGTTCAACGACTTCGAAGCAAGATCACCAACAAGTAAGTAGCAACTTAAACAATCGAAGAGTAAAGGCAAAGATTTTGAAACGTTAATCTCAATATTTTTAACTGTTATAGTTTAATTAAGGCCCAAATTTAAGTCGCCTCAGTATCATGACCAGAATGTATATATTGCAGGGTTTTGGTACATAAAATATCAAATATTCTTTTTAAAAAACTTTAAAGTTGTTTTGTTTTTTTGACCTAAAGCTTTCTATAGTACTAAAATTGTTTATTATCACATTTATATGTTCAATCAATCTTAAGTTTTGCTATGCTTTTTTACTTTTTAATGTTATTAAATTGCTTTAAATAGCAAAACTTACTTTATCTTTTTATCATTTTTGACAGCTTACAGAATTTGTTTAAGTCCTCTCACATCCTGTTGTTGGTTGCGTTTTCGTTTGACGGTGGTATGCCTCGCTCTGATAGACAGGCGGAGGGTTATCGGATTTTTATCGGTGGAGTCGATCCGAGGGTCGGTAAAGTCGAGTTAGAGCGTGAATTTGACCGCTTCGGTACAATTGTGGATGTGTGGGTAGCTCGTAATCCTCCGGGCTTCGCTTTCATCGTCTACAAACACTTGGAAGATGCTGAGAAGGCCATCAGGCGAATGGATAGGAGGTTATTTTGTTGTACTCTCGTTAACTTTGTTTTAGTAGTCCCTTCGGTTCGCGGCTCCGGGTTGAACACGCCGCTAATTCTCTAAAGTACAAGTTAGAGGGGTGAGTGAATTCTGTGGGGATTTAATAGGCTTTTAATGTAGTCTCACTTGTGGAGTGGGTCTAGGTTCTAAGGTTTTTGGTTATTTCTTACTGCGAGAACTGAAAGTGGGCACTTTATTCATATTTTGTGTTAATTTGCGCTTTTCACGCAAATTCTTCGTATGGTCTTCGTGCCTACTTCTAACCACAATCGGCTCTTCGAATCCACGCACCTACTAGAAATATTCATCTAAGTCGATTCGCTCTTCGAAACTGTCGTCTCTCATCTCGATTCAAAAATGCGTTTCCTCTCCTCTTCATAATCTCAATATCGTCCATTTCCATCGCTTAACCTATTTCTCGGAGTTAGGGATGGTGAGTTGATTAAAGCTTAATTCAAACTCCGGATGGTTCTAGTGATGAAGTTTCCATGAGTGGATGTCGTCGAGTGAATTTATGTTTCTGCAAGCAGCCTAAACCGCATTACCTGATGATTCGTTTTTAAAGCGGCTTGTCAAAATGATAACCATTTTGTCATGCTTGGATTTTTGGCCCAGCGCGCTGGACGCATATCGGTTCCTTTCTGGGTGTAGTTGCGTCTTTTTTGTGGACGAGTTGTCACCGGGACTTCTCTTTGCTCACGTTTATTTGTCCACTTCTCCATCCGTGTAGTCGTCGCAGGTCCCGCAGTCGGAGCAGGAGGCGCAGGAGTCCGTCATCCAGACGCCGGAGAAGTCCTCCACGCCGTCGTTCAATAAGCCGACGTCGAGATAGGAGGTACGTCGACCGTAACGCACTGCTATCTCACGGCGGCTTGGTCTGTATTCATTTTCGGTCATCGTTTTCATAGCGACAGTCGCAGGTATGGACGATCGAGTTCGCGGGTTAGACGGAGGTCCTGGCGCCGCCGGTCCAATTCACGGTCAGCGTCCCGACGGTCACGAAGCGGTCGTCGTTCACGTGAAGATTCTCGTTCCGTCAAGCGTTCTCGAGATCGTTCAGGTTACTCGCCTCGTCGTCGCTCGGTTTCTCGTGACCGTTCTGGGTCAAACTACGTTTCGAGAGACCGGTCTGCCTCACGGGAGGCTTCTGACCGAAAGCGCGTTCGTGTTTCTGGTTCCCGCAGTCGGTCTATGTCTCGTCGATCTCCCTCAAGGGGGTCTCCTGATAGGCGGTCTAGATCGGTTTCTCGCAACAGCTCTCGGGACCGATCTGGAAGTCCAGTGAATCGCGGTGAGAACGGAAATGATTCAAGGCACAGTGGAAGTAGGCATTCCTCTCGTTCTCAGTCCAGGTCGCGGTCCCCCAGCCGTCGCAGTGGTGGTCGTACGCCGTCGCGATCCGGTTCGAATTCGCCTCGTCGCGAACAGTCATCCGATGGTGGGTTGTTTGGGCTTTACAATGTCTTAATTCTTACTGCGTATTTCATTATGGTTTTCCTTTGTAGGTGAAGGAAGCGGGAACAAAAGTGAATAAATCAATGTCATTCTTTATGGAACCCTCGCATTTTTACTCGGATTGACATTAAATTCATGTTGTGTACTGCGTATAATTTTTATAAAGCAATTGCACTATCCTTGGTTGATATGCACTGCGTGTTGGCTTTATCTAGATTCAGCTTGTTCGTATTTTCTCAGTCGAAATGACATTGGAAATCACTGTTTAGGTTGGCGGTGGCTGTGGACGTGTGGCCCTACTTCGTGTCTGCTAGCTGGATCTTCTCTTGTGGATGGTGGCTTGGTGTAGTAATGTTGGTCTGATGGGTCGATTAAGTTGGGGTTTCCGATTGTGGTCTGGCGTCTCTTTCTCCATCGATGCCCTGAGAGCTGTTGGGGAAGCATCGCGGGTCGGGTTAGGTCGTCAGTGCTGGTCTTGGATCCCGCGCACGGGAGGCTGTTTATTTGCGCTGACGAGGTTGTGGTGCATCGGGAGTATTCTCTCGCCTACTTTTGAGGGGATGGTGAATGGCATGAAAACAGCTGGGATTCTTAATGGTTTCTTGTAGTCGAATACCCTAGCTGGAGTGCTGGTGGATATTCGCGGCTTTTAGACGTTAGTAATTTTTCTAAGGTGATGGTGTTTTCGAGAAAACCGCTTTCGGGTTCTACACGGTACTACTTGCACTTGCACTGTCTTCTTAGTCATGTTAATCAATTTTTTACTATCCCGAAACCAGCGTGTATAGGACCTACTTTGTAAATATCTAATAGTTGAGTTAGTTTAATAACATACAAACTTTGCAGACCACACCAACCTCGGTAGAACGTTTAGTGTCGGTTTTATGGGTATCTTGGGTCTTTGTTGGCTGAACAACTGTCTGGATCATATTTTCAGCTATGATAACGAAGCTGGTTCATTCGAAAGGTGATCTAAATTACAGTGCAACGATCCGGTAGGTTCACTTGAGTTTGAAATCGCAAGAGCCAGCGCGGTGTTTCCTGCGCCTAACATGCTTTGAAAGCATGAGAAGCTTGTGAGAAATGGATTCGTGGATTTTAACTGTGAATTACAAATGCAATTATCACCTGAATTTTTTCCATTTCCTCACATCGACAGCACTGATAGTGATGCGACAGTCTTCTTTGTGAGTAATTCAGCAAGTTTTGAGTGGACTTGTCGGTCATTAGAAGAATGATTTTGGCTACAGAAGCGATAGCACGATGAGTGCACGATCTTGAAGTCCTAGTTGACTTTAACCATCCGTAGGGTGCACGCATAGGTGCCGAGGCAATTGGTAGTCCTGATTTAGCCAATCAGAAGTGAGGAAAATGGCATAATGTGCATGGACGCGAGTGCACTTGCGGGGGTCAAGGTGTTATAAATGCAAAAGGGAGCACGTTTGACATTCTTCATTCTAGTCTCATTCCCAAGTAATGGTGACAAATAGCATCTTTTCCACTTCGGTGTTTGAGCAACTTCTTCGAAACGTTAACGTCAACCGCACCTTTGCTGTTCCCCCCTTGCGAAATATTTTCCCAATCGGACATACGATTTCCCGATCACCATCGCAGGCGGAAGCTGTTTTGAGTCAGCTTTCTGATTCAATCATAGATCTAACCGATGAAGGAGTGCTATACAAGTCAAGTTCTGTCGATTCAGTTTCCATCAAACCACCCTATTCGTACATAGCTCTGATTACAATGGCAATAATGCAATCACCGAATCAGCGACTCACATTATCAGGCATTTGTGAGTTTATAATGCAAAGATTCCCATACTACAGAGAACGCTTTCCTGCATGGCAAAACTCAATTAGGCACAATCTTTCCCTTAACGACTGCTTTGTCAAAGTTCCTCGCGAACCCGGTAACAATGGTAAGGGTAACTACTGGACACTTGATCCCAATTCGAAGGGCATGTTTGAGCATGGGAGTTTTTTACGACGTAAGAAGCGATACAAGAGGCACTACCAGCGTTCTCTGTGCGGAATAGGAAGTAGGAGTGGAAGCTTATCACTGGCCGCACCTATGGCAGTTAGTACTCTTACGCAATATCCCCATTCCTTGGTTTGCCCTCACAGGGCGAGACCGTGGGTCATAGATGCAGAGCAGAGAACTTTTCTTCCTCCGATCTACTATCCATCTGTCGTAGAGTCCAGTTCTGCTACAATCGTGAAAAAGGTCACTAGTCTACACTCAACAACCACGCAAACCGCACCCTCTCTTTCCTTCAGCATAGACTGGATACTCGGACCTTCTGACGTAACGTAGTCCGGTTAATTAGACTGTAAAAATACTATTTTTTTACCCCTGGGCTTAAAACATTAGTAAATAAAAACTTGTTCCATCTTTTTGTGATCAATAAAAATCTGAACTCTTTAGTCCAAATATTAACTTGCTGTGCAGATGTTGACAGCATGTGGCCGAGTGAACAAGGGAAATGAGATGGTGGTGTTCTGAAACTTTGCATTCAGCGAAGTTGTCCAATTTTAGACGCGTACTACATTTCTCGCACAAGAAAATTTAGCAGGGTAATCATTGATTGGATTAAATTTTGAAGGTCTTAACAATTACATGCTTCCCAAATTTAGCGCCTTGAGAAGTTAATGCTTTGATTTTATTTGCTAGCCAATGACAGTGCGTTCCCGTCGCTTAGGTACTGCTCTATTATCTGTTTTAGTTTGTGCACAAAAGCTTACTCCGATGAGACGCGAGCCGCCCTTAACTTTGATGCGAAATTTCATGTCTCGGATTGCTAACAATTGCTTCAAACTCAACTATCACCTGTGGACCCAAAACTTTTCCTCTGCTTAAAGCCCCAGTAACCCATCTGACGCACCAGATGAGTGTGAAATCACACGGTGAAAGGGCACACTTATGAAAAGGGTGGTGGAAGATAGAGGACAATTACACTTCCGCATTTGTATTGTCAAAATGACAGAACCATCGCAGCTACTTAGCAACCAATAAATTGTTTATATCATTCACAAACTGCCGTAACAAAAACTGAAAATCTCAAAATTACCTCTGCATTTGGCCAGAGAGGATGCAGGTAGGGCTTTGCATCTTCACAAATCCGTGTCATGCCATCTTCTTTGTGTATCATTGCTTACAATTATGCTTGTACAAGTGTTCCATCGACAGCACCCAACCACAAATGGCCACTTTAGACTTCTGCAGAGGCAATTAGTTATGAGCGATCCCAAGGCGTTCTAAACGCACCGAAATAAAATAACTGAATTTCGTACACTAAAATCACTTGGAGAACTGTGAAGTTGATCAATGCATCAAAAGACGTAATGGAAGCCAACTTGTTATTTTCTGATCAGAGAGAGAGCTTATGCTGTTATTTCAAGCAAAAGGGTGCCGCCAATTTGAAAGTATCTTCCATTATGGTATGTTAATTCCATTGCATGCAGAAGGACCTCCTGTGCTCATTGTTACTGCTTCCGTTGAATATATTCGTATACTTCTAAGCCATATTTGCATGCAGTTCTCTTCCTCTTTATTAGATGTCAGGTATTTTAGACAGCGCTAAAAATCCTACCTAGTATCAGGAGCCATTTGGCATCGAAAACAAGACTTACCATTCTCTACCAGGCTGTAGACAGGGTGTCCTTCGAGTTGTAAGTGTTTACCTTATTGGGTCATTGTTATTGTCATACTTTCACAAAAACAGAAGGAGTATCCACATCATGACTTCCTGAGCGGTGCTGTCTGCAGTCTTCCGATTCACTTGTAATGATAGGCGCAGTTGTTTAAGATAAACGATTCGGGTCGCAGCTGGATAACAATTCATGTTGCATTCATTGCACTGCCTTTTATCCACTTCAAGGTGCACAGAGAACTAAACAGTATGGCCTGATAACCGCTTCATAAAGTTTATCCTTGCACCTCTGTCAGTCTGGCATAGGCCTCACTGTGATGCTTATAAAGTCAGGGAAGCTACACCATGTGAGTTGTTCCACATCGAAGCTAATGCTCTCTTATACGAATGCGATTTAGATGGTCCTTAGCTTAAAGGTTGGACTTGTCAGTTGGAAGTCGATTTAAGGATTGAGTGCGGAATCCAGGCTAAGTCGTGAAAGAAATAAAAACACGAAGGTTTATTTGCGTTACTCGATGGGATCCCTTTGAACCCTGCAGGCTGGATTTGGCTTGCGGACCTTCTCATCGTGGGTTATGGCATCTGATCTGGATCAAATGTAAGTACAAAATGATAAATGGGCGTGGAGTAATTGTGGCAACTTGAATTACCTTATTAATGAAAGAAGCAAGTCAATGGGTAACATGAAAACATCACTTCTATGCACCATAAATTTGTGCAACTCGTCGACCGTTGCCTTTGAGCAGTGCTGCCTCTTGAAATTTTAGCAGCCTTCCCAATGCAAACGCGATGTGGGCCACAAACCACCGCTAATTTAAGCTGCCGCTGCTTGTGCTAAGGGCACTCTTAATGTCAGCTGCAAATTCTGGTGCATTGGCATCAAAGCGGTGGCGACATTGAGGCTCTGCATATTAAAAGCACCCATTACGCTTATTTGCATTTGTTTGCTTTTTTCTTCTTAAATGCAAATATTTGATTCCTTTTAGCCCCATCAGGGCTTGTCATTAAGGGGCCTGGTAACCAATTATTTAATGGTCTCGATAATCAACTGTTTGAAACATTAAAATCCTTGCCTGTTTGAGGTCAAGCCTGTGTTTATGCGATCGAGCCGCCTGTAAACGGACTCGAATGTCCACTTCGAGAGGAGGCATCTGCGTGACCTCCGCTGGTCACCCTGGCGCGATGCTACAACAGCCCCAATAAACCTCCATAATATCACGTTGACCTGTTCATGAGTGTTCGCCATAAAATAAGTAAGATTTTCTAATCTAAAACTCTTTAATTAATTTGTTTACTTTGTCTTCAACGTGGAAATTGTATGTCTTTATAACTAATTGCTATTGACAAGTGAGGGTCGTTGGGTGAAAACAATTCTTAGTGACTGTACTCATAATTAGAGGCATGAGTAAGTATGTTGAAACGAAGCTGGAGTTTAGGCTGGTGAACAGGCGCTAATAAACGAA